TTTTTTTTTATTTGGTACATTGCTATTGCTTTATTTATCTTATTTACGAGTTTTATAGAGAAAATGGCGTAAACACAATTTTTCGACGTGAATCTCTCTGGTTAAAGAACTAGAATCAGTTTCAATGACTAGTTGCTTAATGCACGTAAAAAACCTTTTTGATGAGCTCAGTTGTAAAAACCGTGGTTTCATGTACGTTTTCTTTAACGCACAGCGCAGATTGCGGAGAGACCAGTTTTTCCTTTTCTTCCATATGCACATCATTCAAGACGTTTCCAAATTTATGTATCGGTGTTTGAGGACTTTTCAGCTCTATAAATCAATTGCTTGATCAAGCAAGGTTTTCAGTTTGCTCTGGTGCGGAATTTTGCCTTTGCATTCAATCTCCTCAATAGAGTCTTCTATTCACCCGATCACGGACCCGATAAGATTGTTTTCCAAAACGGAGCCTTTATTATGCGACAACCGCAGCAGCAGGTAAATTTTTAATGCATCGTTGTTGCTACAGGTTTATTCTTGTTCACGTTACAGGTGCAATTATCCGGTTGTCGCCCAATTTACACTCGACAAATGGATGAAATTATGCTGCCATTTCGGCGGCTTCAATTGTCGGTATCTGAATTTGCAACATTCAAAGCTGCCTTATTCTTCAATCCTGGTTTGAGCTTGATATTTTGAAGCATCTGAATTTGTGGACATGTATTGTTGTATTCAGATGCGCTTGACTTGTCAAATCAAGCAAAACCAGATGTTTACGAGGAACGAAACAAGTATCTCAGCGCACTTTTCACCTGCATCACGAATAAGCTAGGAATGGCTGCTGGTGTACAAAAATATGGCAGTTTACTTATGATGACAGCAAGTATCCAGGTAATGTTCAGTCGTGTTATCAACGCTTTTTTTCGCAGTATTTTATTTGAATCTTCAAAAGTAATCTTTGCAATTATGGAAGCTTTGCAACTCATCAAAACATTTGCTGAATGATTTTCTTGATGGTAAGGGAGTTACAAAGCAGTATGGTCTCCTAAGATTCTAGCCAACGCATGTAGGAACGCACACTTATATCTTGCATTCTAACATCGGCAAGTAGATCGTAGAAATATATTGTCTTTTCAAGTCAATCATCCTTTTTTTTCCATGCTCAAAGATTCGGCGCCTAAACTTATAATTAATCGAATTCTAATCTTTTGTAAGAGGTTCAGTGCACTATTTCTTTCTTTTAATCTTATTTGGC